ACACTTCTGAAACCTAGGAGGAGCCTGCCAGCATTGATTACCCTGGAGACCAGGGGATTGACTGAGCAGGATTAACTGGTTGAGCGGGTAAGGCTGATGTGTCTCACTTTTTGCAACAAAAGCTGGAGTGCATACCACTTATATGCAGAGATGCAGAAAAGCAGTAGAATCCCGATTTCCTGCACGCCTCCAGGAACACATCCACAATAAAGGTCCCCTTATCCGGGCCAACCTAACCTTCTCCACCCTTCCCTGCCCGGGGCGGAGGTCCCACTAGCAAAGAGGATAGGATCAAACTCCTGAATCTGGACATTTTATACCCAGAGATGCAGAAAAGCAGTACAGTCCCGATTTCACTGCACGTCTCCACGAACACGTCCACATTCAAGCATCCTATCGGATCCCCTTTGCTAGTGGGACCATGCTCCGGGACCACCACCATCGCCGAGGGGCCAAGTCCCACTTACACAGATTCTGTTTTTTTTTCCTTCTTTTTTTTCATTTTCTGTGATGTTGCCAGCTCCAATCGAAGCTCAAGAGAAACTGTCGCGGGCTAAAACAGTCACGATTTTTTTTTCTTTTTTTTTTTTGTCCAGCACATGTTGAGAACGGGCCTTGATCCAAAAGAGAACGGGCCCCGATCCTGAAAAAAAAAAAAAAAAAAAAAAAGAACTGGCCCCGATCCAGCGGCCTAGCTCAGTTGGTAAGGCACGCAAGTGGCATTCAGGTGGTCTTGGGTTCAAACCCCATGGGCCTCATGTACCTTCCTGGGCAAGCTTGCCGTTGGTCCCCCCGAGTGGCATTAAGCAGAGACTGCTGGGCCGAGGTCCCACTAGCAAAAAGGATAGGATCGAGCTCCTGAATCTGGATGTGTTTTAAGCAGAGATGCAGAAAAGCATTTCAATCTCGATTTCCTGCACATCTCCATAAACTCATCCAGATTCAGGCATTCTATCCGATCCTCTTTGCTAGTGGGACCACGCCCCTGATGTTGATAGGGGGGGGGGGGGGGGGGAAAGGGGGGGAAGGCACAGCGACTGGCCCATCGAAGAAGCTCGGTCCTGGGGTTCCCCGTAATACTATAATTAAGATAAAAAAAGGCAGGAAAGGCCGTCCTGTCCAGATTCTACAGGTAATTAAATTGGTTGGGCTTAAGAAGAGTTAGGGCATGGCCACACCACTCTTGAAATGTGCAAAATGACAATGAACTTCCTCGTACAACATGGCCAGATGCACCCGCCTCAATTTTTTCTTTTTCACATTTCGACAGTGGTGTGGCGAGGCCCTAAGCCACACCACTGTCGAAACCAAAACCGTTCAAATGCATGTTCACACAGAAAGTGGCAAGATGCATCCGTTCCTATGAATAGCAACAGATGCATCTGACCGCATTTTGGGGAAGATGCACCGGTGCTTCTTTCGTTTCGCAGTGGTGTGGCGAGGCCCTTAGCCTTGCGTCCCTTACGAGGAGACTTATGGACACGATTTGCAGTTCATGGGGAGCAGCATGCGGTGGGGAACAGACCAAGTGTCCCATTAGTTTTTTCTTTTTTTTTCAGCCTCCCTTCTTGAGAGGATAAGAAAGGTTTATCATTTATTATTTTTATTATTATTATTGTTCCATGATCGACATTCTTCTGAATATATTACAAAAAAAAAAAAAAAAAAAAAAAAAAAACTTCTGAATCGTCGAGATTACAAGACTTTTCTGAACATCCAGCAGCCTAGCTCAGTTGGTAAGGCACACGAGCAGCATTCAGGAGGTCTTGGGTTCAATATCCATTGGCCTCATGCACCTTCCTGGGCAAGCTTGGTGCCCGCCACCTACAGATATGCCGTTGGTCCCCCCGAGTGGCATTGAGCAGAGACTGCTGATGTTCATAGGGGGAGGGGACCAGAGGGGAGGCACA